CCACAACGCCTGGCCATTTTTTGGTTGCAGCCATCATTGTTGTTTGGCGGGTCCGGGCTGGATTCAAACCCGCCAGCTTAGGTGTATGTGGCTGGCGCCTTAGCCACTTGAGCCACAGGCGCCGAGCCCCCCAAAACTTTTTTGATGTCAGAAGGTTCTTGGAGAGATTTCATCTGTGCCGTTAGTGGAGGACTGTGCAGCACAGTTAGTAGAGACCATTTCTTCCCATCAGCACCTAAGTGAAAATTCTGTCCAAGACCAGGGAAAGTGCTGAGATAAGAGGTTTTACAGGGTTTCAAGTTATGAAAAACAGCTCTGATTTTTGTTTTGGTTTAATTTAGACATATAACTTGGTTTTTCTGGACTTCAGTAAGTACTTTTAAGGGGGTTGTATATGTGTTTTTGGTCCCAGTTCAGGGCTAGCTCACACTTTTGAGTTAGGGACAAGGCTTGGTTTTAGTGAGATTTATTGAATCCTTGGCTTCTGCTTGAATGCTTTTTGTAGTTGTTGTTTGTTTGTTGGGAGGGGGTTGTTTTATTTTTTTTAAGACAGAGTCTTATTTTGTCACCCTTTGTAGAGTGCTCTGGCCTCATAGCTCTCAGCAACCTCAAACTCTTGGGCTCAAGTGATCATCTTGCCTCAGCCTCCCAAGTAGCCAAGACTACAGGCGCATGCCACATTGCCTGGCTATTTTTAGAGATGGGGTTTGCTCAGACTGGTCTCAAGCCTGTGAGCTAATCCACCCGCCTCAGTCTCCCAGAGTGCTAGGATTACAAGTGTGAGCCACAGTTCCCAACCCCTGCTTGAGTGTTAATTCACTTATCCACTTAGCATTTCATCTGTAACAGCATCAAATATCACTTTCACAAGCTTTTTTATTAACAAAAAGAAAGAGCAGCAGAAATTATTTTTCTGAAACAATCAAATCATTGTCCTTAACATTTGGCATATTTAATTATGCTTATGTGATCTGATAACCTAAATGTCTTCCCTCTGTGGGTTCCTTTATTGTATTTTGCAGATGGATTTTTTAAATGAATATAATTTGGTTGGTCTATAGCAGTCTTTAAAAATAAGAGCTCTTGAGTTTGACTTTTGGCTTTAACATTCACTCTTCCCTTTGAGCTTTTTTTCTCAGCGGTAAAATAAGGATGATAATATTTCTCATTTTAGGGGATTGTTACATGTTGGCTGAGATAATCTGTATTATAAAGGACCAGTTAGATGCCTGCTGGCGTCAGCTTTACTTGCAGTGCAGCAGAGGCTGTGTGGAAGCTTGGCGGCTGCATGTTGGCACTTTGGAGCTACTTCCAAAATGTTTGGGGGGCAAGAACTTGTTGCAAAAGTGGCAGAGAAAAGAGAATAAGACACATATTTGAATGCTTTGGTACTAAATTATTTATTATCACTGAATATTGATTTTGTAGGTTACTGTTGCTCCTAGACTTATAGGGAATCCTTATCAGATGCCAGAGAGTTAGTCTTTCCTTCAGTTTTGTTCTCTGATAATGCTGATCCCAAGGAGACTGCATCGTAACCCAGCCCATTGATTCAGTCTGTTAAATTCACTCATGAGAGAGTGACTGTGGTAGAGTTAGGGCTGTGTGGCCCTGCAGGTCTTTCTGGTGTTGCTCCACATAGCATTCCCCATTGTACTTTGTTTTCCAGTCCAGGGTAAAGTTTAATGTGAAAGTTAGAAATTTGTTGACATTTTGTGGGAAAGGGTTTACTTGGTTCCAGATTATTGGAAGGAAGCCTTTTTTTGGTAATTTCTTCAAGATAATTCCAATAACTAGTGCACTGACACCACATTATGTGTCTGAACTTAAAACTTTCCCCCTAAACATGATGATGTACTTTATATAGACCTGAGCACCTTGTAATGGAAACTGCCTGCTCATTTACTTAACTAGTACAACCTGATCATTTCTGAGAAGTTGGCTGTTCTTATAGCTTGAGGTCTCCTATCTAGTGAGGCAGGGACCAAAGCCCCGACCTGCGTCCTGGGGGCCCAGCTCCAGGCTCGGCTCCTCTTCCGCACACCGTCCGTGTACTGAGTACCTCAAGCATTTCGAAATGTAAAACAAATAGAAAAGGTACTCTCTTTTCTCTATGTGTTTACGTTTTTCATTATGTTTATTTTTAGGAATGCTTTTTACTGCCAATGAAACCCCTAAGATGGGCATCTATTACATTCCGGTAAGTAATACAAATAAGAGCTACAATAAAGGTAAGGCAGGCACAGATACTTTGTGTTTTCAACTAGACACATCTAGGGGACTTTAGGTTGAGTTCTGGAACCAGTAAAGCAATGCTTAAACATTCTTCTATGGGAAACTATTTATTTATTTAGAGACAGAGTCTCACTGTGTCTCCCTCAGTAGAGCGTGTGGCTTCACAGCTCACAGCAACCTCAAATTCTTGGGCTTAAGTCATTCTCTTGTCTTAGCCTCCCCAAAGGCTAGAACTACAGGTGCCTGTCACAACACCCAGCGGTTTTATTGTTGTAGTTGTCATTGTCTTTTGGCAGGCCCTGGCCGGGTTTGAACCTCCCAGCTCCAGGGTATGTGGCCAGTACCCTAGCTGCTGAGCTACAGGTGCTGAGCCAAGGGAAGCTATTTATTAAATAAAAAAAAAATTTATTTTTGAGATAGTCTCACTCTGTTGCCCTGGGTAGAATGCCATAGCATCATAGCTCACAGCAACCTCAAACTCTTAGGCTTGAGCAGTCTTCTTGCCTCAGCCTCCCAAGTAGCTGGGACTACAGGCATGTGCCAGCACCATATCCAGCTTGTTTTTCTATTTTTAGTAGAGATGGGATGGGGTCAGGTCTCATGCTCTGGCTGGTCTTTTTTTTTTTTTAAGACAGTCTTACTATGTCACCCTCGGTAAAGTGCCTCAGCGTTACAGCTCACAGCAACCTCAAACTCTTGGGCTTAAATGATTCTCTTGCCTCAGCCTCCCAAGTAGCTGGGACTATAGGTGCCCACCACAACACCCTATTTTTTTGTTGTAGTAGTCACATTGTTGTTTAGTAGTCCCAGACCAGGTTCAAACCTGCCTGCCTTGGTGTATGTGGCCAGTGCCGTAACCACTGAGCTGTGGGCACCAAGCCCTCTGGCTGGTCTTGAACTCCTGAGCTCAAGCAGTCCACCCCCCTTGACCTCTCAGAATGCTAGGATTGCAGGTGTATGACTCACCGCACCTAGCCAGTGGGAAACTATATTATGCCATGTTAAAAAAGATATTAGAAATTAGTATTCTGCAGATTTACATTGGTTTTTGTTTCCAAATGTTTCAGAATCTTAAAATTTCAGTTGTTAGTGATCAAGAGGTATGATTCTGAATTAGAAGTCTCATACTCCCTTCTGGTCATCTTGCTGTAGTTTGTTTCTTTTGAAAGTTACTCATAAGTAGGTGACGCCTATGGTTCAAGGAGTAGGGCGCTGGCCCCACATATTGGAGGTGATGGGTTCAAACCCAGACACAGCAAAAAAAAATTTAAAAAAGGTTACTCATAAGATAAACCATCTTAGATCGACATGATTCATATGACATGTAGTTTATAATCTATTCTTTTTTTTTTCCTTTTTCTTTTAACTGGGATTTGCATTTATTTTATGTTGTATCTATTCACATGCTATTTTTTCTTTATAGCACATTCCTTGTGGGATATTGTTCTCTTCTGGTTTGGGAACAGTTTGTTCCTTTTCAGTAAGGATCATCTCGATGTAGCAAGGGGAGCTCATGTATGGGTTAATGTGACCATGAGCTCTGTAAGTTCAGCAATGCATCTTGGGTGCTTTGTTCACCTGGATATGCTCAATGACCAGAGAATCTACATCTAAAGCCTTAAGTTCAGCATTACTCTGCATTTTTAAGCATGTGCAGCAAAAATTCAGCAGTCATTTTAGGCTACCAACCCTACGTCCAGTCCCACTATTTGGCCTGGGCACACCTACCAGCTCAACCATTGTAATGTCAGGATGGTACACACTGTTTCTTTTTTTTTTTTTGAGACAGAGCCTCAAGCTATCCCCCTGGGTAGAGTGCTGTGGCAACCTCTAACTCCTGGGCTCAAGCGAGTCTCCTGCCTCCGCCTCCCAAGTAGCTGGGACCACAGGCGCCTGCCACAACGCCTGGCCATTCTTGGTTGCAGCCATCATTGTTGTTTGGTGGGCCTGGGCTGGATTCGAACCTGCCACCTTAGGTGTATGTGGCTGGCGCCTTAGCCACTTGAGCCACAGGCACCGAGCCACACACTGTTTCTTTAAAGTGACATCCTTCAGATACTTGATGGCTTTCCATATATGCATACTCTTGATGGCCTGGGTAGTTTCACATGCATTCTTAAAGTGAATACGAAGATTTGAGCCTCTTGAATGACTTAGTGGGGTTTTCTGGGTCAAGTGAATAGTGAACCGTTTTCACAGATCATCTCAGGATGATCTTAGAGGAAGAAGACCTTTTTTTCCTCCTTAAAGAATTTTTCTCTTATATAGCTAGAAGCTTCCCCACCATTACCGTTTAGTTTATAGTGGGAAAGAAACAGGGACATGCAATCTACTAAGCAGAAACACATAGCACACCATTGGCATCAATTACTTTATAATGAGTAAACATCTTTATCTGAGCGCTGAGGAGAGTTGGGTGAGAAGTGTTGAAGATCAGAACTTGAGTGGGGCACACTCTCCATGGCTTTCTTCAGTTAACCTTACGGTTAATTAACCATAATTATAAGGTAATAAGAGTACCTAAAATATTTTTTAGTTCTCTCCATTATATTTCATTGCCTGGTGTATGACATTTAAAGAGATGGAGCCCAAAAAACATACACACCTTTTAAGAAAGGGAAAAACTGTATTAACATAATGCTCCATATATACTCATACAAAAGATGAAGACAAGTCACATTTGAGCATCTCATGTAATTGCAGAAGTCAAACATGACTTGAGTATTTATTTCTTAGGGTGGGCTTTTTTGTTCCAAATAATGGGGACTTTAATTAGCATGAGTGAGAGGGGCCAGCTGATGAGAAATTGCTTTCTTGAGAAATGTTAGCTTATCTCTAAGAAGATCTGTTTTCGTTTCAAGTTTGTAACTGAGACTTAACAGAAAGTTGTGAAAAAAAATCCACAGAACCTTCTCCCTTGTGACTGTGAGTGAGGACACCGTGAAAAGAGCCCTCTTGCTAAGCTGAGCGTTACGCTGGATCTTTTACTTTAGCGTCTTTCCTGACCTTTCTGCCATGCTGCCTTCTCATTGAGTTATATTTAATAGCACCACTTATCTTTACTTGGAACCTGCTCTTTGTAATACTCTCAAAGCAAAGAGAGAGGCCCCAGGTCTGAAAGCCTGTCATTTTTCATAAGATTTCATCAAACGTCCTAAACTGCTATTTGGCAAGTTCATTTGAGGCCTATAGAACTGGGGAGGTGTGTGTTTAATATATGATCCATGCCAAGATTAGGAGGTCTGGACTGCGATTTGTATTAACATCTTTATAAACAAAGTATAAAAACTCTTCTCCTCCCTTTGGGGCTGTGCTGAAAATGAAGACAGCCTAAATGTTCTTTGAGCTTGTTAATTGTCACCTTTCAGCCAGATACCATCTTTCTTGGATACTTGAAATGCTTAGTTCCTGATTTATAGCACCCTCTGCTGCTTAGATATCTTACTCATCCTTTGAGACCAAGTGGGTTTTCTCCAGTCTTTGTCCCATTTTCTCAGTACTTTCCTTTTTCCAGAGACCCAGTTCTAGTATTTGTTTACTTGCTTGCTTCAGGGTCTAACTCATCTGCAGCTTCAGAGACTAATGCCAGGAATAATTTTTTAAGTTTGGTTTTCCTCTGAAATGTAATTTAATCTCAGGTTAGTTCTTCATAATTAACACCCTTGGCAACTGTGTAGACTCCAAAGGTAATCCAAGTCCCCTGTGGCACTTAACTGGAAACCCAGCCAGCATGGTTAACACTGTTTCTGTTGGAAATGTTCCCCAGCGTGAGCCCTTGTGTCAGTGAGTGCCTGTGGCTGCTTGTTACCAGGGAGTGGATTGCCTGCGTGCTAGAGTGCATGGATGTATAAACTTCAGGAAAATGAAGGAAGAAAACATATTATTTACTTAGGTAGCTATTTGATATAGAAGAATAAAAGTGATTTAGTTAATTAAGGCCATGTGTTTTGTTTTTGTGTTATTTCTTAAACATGTAGATTTAAGCTGCTATTAAGGTTATCTACAGTGTCATTGAACCCAGCTTTAAATATTGAAAGTTAGGCTTTTTATTTTAAAACATTTTCTAGGATAAAAACCTCCTGTATTATTTCTGTTAAAATGTTTTGATTATTTAAACACATTGGTTAAGTATTTTAACATTGGTGTTTAATTTAAAATTGGAAAGTACTCTAGGAGTCTGCGAATGGGACAGAATTGAAAACACTCAGGGTCATGTCTGCTCTGCACTAAGGCTTCTGTTCTATTGGGAAATAGCACTTGAACTTATCTGGCATAACTCCTAAAACCCACAGAACTATCTTTACAAATAGAGAAAACTACGTATTAAGCATAAAACCTTAAGAGTACTTGCTTTACCTACTTATAAAACATGCAGCACTGGGCGGCACCTATGGCTCAGTGGGTAAGGCGCCAGCCCTAGATACCGAGGGTGGCAGGTTCAAACCTGGCCCCAGCCAAACTGCAACAAAAATAGCCGGCTGTTGTGGCAGGCGCCTGTAGTCCTAGCTACTCAGGAGGCTGAGGCAGGAGAATCGCCTAAGCCCAAGAGTTGGAGGTTGCTCTGAGCTATGATGCTACAGCACTCTACCCAGGGTGACAGCTTGAGATTCTGTCCCCCCCCCCTCCCAAAAAAAGACAGAACAAGTTGTTACCAAAATGTCCTCACTAAAGGATATTTCTATGTGCTGTAAAGGAAGGGGGACACTTTGGAGCGTAGCCCACTGGAGCTGGAAGGGTTCTTTGAGGTCCTCTAGCCCAGCTATTAATGTATATGTAAGGAATCAGGTAATTGTTCAAAGTCAAATGACAAGTTGGTAACAGCTGGATCTAGACGGTATTTCTTCATTCCACATTACATGGTAGAAAGAATTTAGACTTTGGAATTGTTTGGACTAAATTTGAATAGTAGCTTGCCACTTACAAATTTTGTGAGCTTGAATGATTTACTTATTCTCTCTAAGCCCT